CGCCAGCGGCGGGGCCCTGGATGCCGGGTGAGAACCCACCACCCCCCGAGGGTGCACGTTTCTGCCCCGGCCCTCGTCCAGCCCAGCCTCCCCCCGCCTGCGTACTCACCTCTGGCCCAAGCCGTACTGGGGCAGCGCTGCCTGATGGCGCCTTTTATAGCCGCCCCCATTGTGACGCGTCGCCTGTGATGTCACAGGCGCCGGAGCGCATCCCAGGCACGCCTGGCGGCAGGCCCCAGCCCGGCCCAGCGACTCTCGGCTGCCCTGGGGTACTGGTTCAGGCCGGGCTGGAGTTAATGTTCTTGACGGGAGCTGTCGTGGTGCTGCGTTTTGGGTTGGTTCTCGTCTGCCTGACAGTGGCAATCTCGTAATCACAGAGTATGCTGAGTGGGAAGGGACCCATGAGGATGATGGAGTCCAAACCCTTGATTCCAGACCACTGAAATGTCAATTCAATGTCAATTTAGGGCCCAAAACTGAACACAGTACTCAAGGTATGGCCTCACCAGTGCTGAGTACAGCGGGACGGTCACTTCCCTAGTGCTGCTGGCCACACTTTTTCTACTACAAGCCAGGATGTCCTTGGCCACCTTCTTGGGCACCTGGGCACACTGCTGCCTCATATTGATGCAGCTGTCGACCAACGCACTCCCAGGTCCTTTTGCGCCAGGCAGCTTTCCAGCCACTCTTCCCCAAGCCCATAGCATTGCATGGGGTTGTTGTGACCCAAGTGCAGCACCCCACACTAGGAGTCGTTGAACCGCATACCGTTGGCCTCGGCCCATCGATGGAGCCTGTCCAGGTCCCTCTGTAGAGCCGTCCTTCCCTCACGCAGATCAACACACCTGCCCAGCTTGGTGCCATCTGGAAACTTCCTGAGGGTGCACTTTCTTGGTGCCTTTGTCCAGATGGTTTATAAAGATATTAAAGAGAACCGGTCTTGACCCTGATCCCTGGGGAACAGCACTTGTGAGCGGCCACCAAGTGTTTTTAACTCCCTTCAGCACAAGTCTTTGGGGCCGGCCATGCAGCCAGTCTTTCACCCAGCGCAGCGTACACCCGTCCAAGCCATGAGCAGGCAGTTTCTCCAGGAGAATGCTGTGGGAGACGGTGTGGAAAATATAAAAGCATTCATTGGGGGAGCAACCGGCTTTGGGTTTATCATTAAAATCAGCGTGTTTATAGGTTTCTTCTGTGTAATTGTGGTATGAAGCAGCTGTGACAGCGGGGCAGAACGGTGGTGAGGTGTTGTAGCACAGCTCCAAAGGGACACAGCCCGAGCTGAGGGGACCGTCGCGGCAGACGAAGTGCTCCACGGGGGAGGCCGCAGCCGTGGAAGAGGCGCTCCAGGGAGGCCGGAGCTGCGGGAAGGGGAAGCCCATGGAGGCCACTGTTGTGGAAGAGGAGCCCCGCGGGCGACCACTGCAGGCCGGGCGGGGGAGGCTGGGCTGTGTGAGGCGGACGGCGAGGCCCCGCGGCCGCGTAACGGCGGCGGAGGGGGCTTCTGTTTTGCCCCGCGGAGGCCGCTGTAGCGCC